TATATATATATATATATATATGACTTCATATGTTACAACTGTGACTTTATTTCTCCTAATTGTGGCTTTGTGATTTGCATATGTGAGTTCATATCGAATTATGTATTTAAAAATGTGTGCAAATAATTGCAACTTTATACCTCAGTTGCAAAAGTTCGGGGTCAGTATGATTTTTTATGTTTTTGATAATACAGTGAAAAGTTAATAATAATAATAATAATAATAATAATAAGGTGAAATATTATTACAACATAAAATAACTGTTTTCTATAATAATGTATTTAACTCCTGTGATGTAAAGGTGAATTTTTAGCAGCAATTACTCCAGGCTTCATTCACATGATCCTTCAAAAATCATTCTGAGAAATATTTTATACCATACATGTCTTTACTGCCACTTTTAATCAAATGAATAAAAATATCCATTTATTAAAACACTGAATGGTAGCGTATATCCACAATGTGCCTTTTTATATCTTTCAGAGCATTTTTTGTTTAAACTTCAATTTATATTTGGAATTGCAACCTTTTATCTCAGCATCTATATTTTACATTGTATTTCTTATTTTAAACGTATCTCACTATTTTCAATCTGATGCAGAAATGGTTTTCCATTGAATTACCTTCATTGTCGAAAATGGTGAAGTTTGGATTGATGGTGCTTAGACTGAAAACAAACTTGTGCCCGACAAGAGGTTCATCAGTGTCCACAGCACTTATGGTCTGGATGAGCTGGAAACATAATAAGCTAAGATGATTCACTGTTTTCATTTCATTCTAATTCAACATAGAACTGTGCAATATAACAAAACCATCCTAGTTATAAATGTAGCTCTAAAGCTCCACAGAACAGCAGAAAAACAAAGCAAGCAGAAGCGTTTAATAAAATATTTGTGTGAAACAATGAATAAACATGAAACTGTGGCATACCTGACCAGCTTTGACATTCTCACAGACAAAGGTCTCGTAGTACATGGCGAATTCAGGCGCATTGTCATTCACGTCGCGCACTTTGATAAACACCGGCACTCTGGTTTGCAGGGCAGTACCTAGACGCCAATGATGAGTGCGTTTTAGCAATTGAGGAAGCTATTCCGTTTGCATTCAAGAGGTCTAATTTTGTTTCTCTCTATTTGTCTTTCAGCCTTTTACCCTAGGCATACATTCTTCTACCGAGAATGCAGAAAGCATGAATTAAACCACAACTCAAGGTGTGACAGTTTGATTTTTGTCATAGGTCATTTATTGTATTGCTGTGGTTTAAGCCATTTCAGAAAATGTCTTGAGGCTCTAGAAGTTTTAGTCCACCTTATAGCACATTATTTTAACAGGTTTGAACAAACAAAAAACCTGAAAATGAATTTCCTACCATATCTAGTTCATGAGTTGAAAGTGAAATATTGAATTAAAAGGCAAGAGCTTTCCGGATTGTTATAAGTAAACCTTGCGGCATTATCCCATATCAGCAATGGCTCACAATGCAAACTTACTGAGTTCGGTTGCCAGAACAGAGATGTTGTGCCATTTGGAAGTTTCTCTGTCCAGACCCTGCAGTGTGCTGATGGTCCCATTGTTGGAATCGATGCTAAACAGTCTCTCCAGGTCTGTGTGACGATCAATGGTGTATCTGAAAACAAGAATGACGGTAATGAATACGAGACAGTGGAGCTCTGATTATGCTCAGGCACAGGGACGGAACGTCCTCAGTGTTTTAAAGCGTTGTAAACACGGCCACAGGAAGTGAAAAAGGGTACATCACACACCCATAATCAAGGGCCCAGAACAGTGCCTGTGCGGTCCGCCAAATAAATCAGCCCAGACTGATTTAATTTTCCTTCAAACAGTTAGACGCATTTGATTTGACATCTCTATTAGAGAACAAATTTGCCCTCGTCAAATGCATTGATGTTAGTTACACGCCGAGGACAACAAACTATACATTGTACCTCTGCCTTTTAAGACCGCGGCTACAAACTACCCTGCTGAAAAGACCAGATATTGAATTCTCATGCCGGTCCGGACTGGTTTACAGCATCTATAAAAAAAAAAAAAAGTATTCACCCTCTTGGAAGTTTTTATGTTCTGCTGTTTTACAGCATTGAATAACAGAGGATTTAATTTGCTATTTTGACAGAGTTTAACAGAAAACTCTTATTTTGTGTCATTGTGGAAATATTTCTACTGATTGGTTAAAGTTATTAAGCATAAACTCATTATTTGATGCAGAACTTAACAATTCATGAATTGAGTCAATTGGCCACACCTCAAAAGAAGTTGAACAGGAATTAGAATTGGAATGACAGGAAGTGAAGTTTACTGAAATGCAATTAAAACAAATTGAATAATTACTCTTTAAAAAAAAAGTGCATTGCAGTACATTTTACAAGAAAATACTATTTGAGTCTTTCATTCTTTAAAATTTCTTGTTTAATTAATTGCGTTATTTGTGGTTTATTTGTGAAATTGAACATTTCTGAGTGAAAATTGTTTCAAATTAAATCCTGTAATTCCATTTCCTTTTTCTGGATAAAAATTATACTTATTTTTATAACTGTTGAATTCAAATTCAAGAATTGAATTGGAATTTAAAAAAAAATTTCAAGTCAAATCTGAATGACTTGCATCCCCGTAAGTATTCATGCTTTTCAAGTCAATATTTTAGCAAACAACCTTCAGCTTTGCACATCATTGTAGTTTTTCCCCATTCTTCTTTTCAAAACTGCTTCACCTCTGACAGGTTGTATGGACGTTATGATTCCACCCATAAATACTTGTTTGGAGATCTGAACTCGGGCCACTCCAGGGGCCTCATTTATAAAATGTGCGTACGCACAGATTTGATCTTAGTGTGCATACGCTAAAATCCACGGCAACGTTCACATTTATAAAAACGGTCTTTGACGTGGAAAAGTACTGGGGTCTGAGCAGGCGTACGCACTTTTCCTTGTGACAAAGTCAGAGTACTGCAGCTATTTGGACATCTAAGCTGCAATAATAATAAAAGCGGTGTACGTGCAAGCACCGAATTCATCATAAACAACAAAGATGCAGTGTAAGAGATTAATTGTGAAGTGTAGTAAGATTTTTTATTAACGGGAGTTTTTGCGAGATTAAACTGACCTTTTTAGTAGCCTAATGTTGAGAGTTCTTTACTCGCTTTCTGTAGTTTATCCATGTTTCTTTTGTTTTTTACAAGAGAACTTCTGATTTACTACTAATGCGTAAAATAGAAAAAAAAATGCATAAACGCATCT